AGAAGTTGCCCAGGCGGGTCTTGAACCCGCGGGCTCAGGCAATCCACTCACCTCAGCCTCTCAAAGGTGTGGGATTACAGGCTGAGCCACTGAGCCCGGCTTACTCCCGCTATTTCTAACACCACGGTGTCGTAGAGAACCTAGGACTTCATGTCTGAGGGCCCATGTTCCTATATTCATGTGACATTTACCAGCTGTGTGACACTGAGAAAGTTATTCACTCACTCAGAACCGAGCCCCTCCCTCTGTGAAATGGGAATACTACTGTAGTCTGAAGTCACAAGGCCACTGTGACAATTGCACGAAAGAATTTGAGTAATATGGAGCATTGACTGGCATGTATTGGAACTCAATAAGCATAATCTTTCTGAAGCCCCACAAATATCCTTTTCTGACTTATAAAAAACGGTGACTTTTGGAGATTTAAAAAATCCATATATATATATATATTCTCAAAACTCTAATTACTGGGCAAATGCATATACTAGAACACTTGAGTCTTGTGAATTCAATTCAACATTCATTTCTGCCTGCCTCCTAGTATGCAAATCATTGTGCAAATCACTGGGCTAAATGCTAGAAATACAAACTAAATCACTGTACACAACTGTAGTCTAAGCATGTGTGTGTCCACTCATACACCGTTCATTTGATGTGAGCAGATAAGACACACTATGCTTGAGTCTAAAGTCAAGTACTAGAGTTCCGTGTGGGCTCCTTCTCAGCCCACCATGCAGAAGCATGCAGGGACATCACCGCAAGTATGTCTCATGACCACCTGCCCATCTGTCTTATGGGTAAAATACAGGGATGTTATTAGAGAAAACAAGTGGTAGCAAGGTTCATTACCTGTGAGGTGGATGAGAAGCAGAGATCATTTATATTCAGCAGAGTAGCAGACATTAGGGCAATTGTTGGCTTTGGCATTCTGTGAAATCCCAGGACAACAAAACCCAGCCTTGTGAGCCTGCTGTTGATGGAGCAGCCCTGGCTCACCAGGCTAACCAGGCAAAGGTAGAATGAAGGATCAGGTTCCTGGGGTGAGTCTGGGTCGGGGAACCACCCATCAGGGGCAGAACCCTCCTGAAGAAGAGAGGGAACTGCCCCAGGGTGAAAATGACACAATTCCTGCCGTGAAGTCTCTCTCAGATCCAACCCCTACCCCAAACCAGAGGCTGGTGAAGAAAAGGAAGAAGAGGGTGGAGGGGTCTGCCCCAGGATGATAATAAAACCATTCCTGCTCTGAAGATCCTCTCGGAGTCAACCCCACCCCCAAACCAGAGGCTGGTGAAGAGGAAGAGGAAGAGGAAGAGAGTGGAGGGATTAGGAGAAATTGCACAAGGTACATAACGATGCATGTTCCTTTTTTTTTTTTAAGGATGCTCTGCCATTTAAAATGGAATTGCAGTTCAGGGTAAGCAATTAACTCAATTTCTACTAAGTATTTCCTTTCTGTTTTTTCCTGGAAATGAACACACAATTTCCTACTTAGCAACAGAGTACCTTGAGTAAGGCACCGATGTCTCCCAGGAGAGGAAGTGCAATCTGTGGTTGAGGAGAAAAAAACAACAACAAATAAACATACATAAATATGCATGAACACAATAGAAATATATTAATACAATACAGTGTAGCTATCTTTCCTCAAAATGCCATGAGCTTCTTGAATCTTACTTTCAGAGTCATTAGCTTAACATGACGTTTCATGTCAAGAAATCGACATGTGACACTGAAAATGTTCAGAACAATTTTTGAGAAATGTTACTATGCCTCTACCATGAACGTGCAAGCACACATGCCATAGTTATGATTCTGCATCTCTATATTTTCATGATGTGGAAACCTTTATGTCATTCCTAGGCTATTACTGGCTTCAAATAATACATAAAGACAAATCATTTATTAAAAGAAAACAGTCCTCTGGCAAGCACATTATCAGGCTGTAAGAACCTAAAATGTACAGGATGGTTTGCCTTCAAAATGTTTCTCATGAAGCTTCCAAAGGGACTGCCATTGGCTTAAGTGATAGGTAAGACAGATGCTGGGGAACTTGGGTTGTCTTTTGGCCACATGCCTTAAGATGCTCTTTCAGAGAGACACTCTAAACCCAAGTGACACTTCACAAGGTGTCCAGATCATGCATATGTGATTCACTTGGTGGTGGAGTTCAAGTAATGCCAGAATATGCCTCCACACGTAGCTTATAAAAAGGTGCATAAGGCTCAAACAGTGTGGGAGGTATGGAGGATTTGTGAGGCTTACAACCGAGAGACCAGTTGATTGATTTTATTATTCAAGGCACCTAATACGATGTTGTGTACCATACAGTCTCTCAAATTGTAACTGCCGAGTCTAAGGTTGCTTAAAGGGATTTCGCTGACGCTCAAAGCAAGGTTTAAACTCAAAATAAAACTTTGGAACACGCGTTTAGTGCCTAAACCCATTCCTAAGAGCCCGTTCAAACCAGTTTTCATAAATTCACTATCTCAGCATTTTAAAGCCACAGGATCAATGGATCTGCACAGTATTGGAGGTAACTTACCTGCAACATTTCATTTAGAAAAATGAAATTCATTTAGTCACTAGCATTAGAAAGAATAGAAATTGTGGCTATAGATTTTATCTCAATTTTCCATGGGATTGAGACGTTATATGCCAAGGCTCAGCCTGGGGAAAAATTGTACAGTTGAATTATACCTTTAGGAAATACAGATTCATCACACACACAAAGATGCTAACTCAGCTTGATTTTTTCTCTCTCTACAAAATAATAGGGATAAACAAAATCACCAAGCAGTCACTGAGCATTCTAATTAGTTTGGGTAGCAAGACTTGCTTTGTAGGCTGTTGGGTTCCTGATATATAAATCAGGCAAGTTAAGATATATAAATCAGACAAGTCTGTCTACGTACCGGGTCGCCTGGGGGGCCTGGCAGGCCTGGCTTTCCATCCCTCCCCGGAGCTCCCTGCAAACAGAGGTACCCGTGGTCAAAGCTTTGCACGCCAACACAGGCAGATTAAAATGGAAGGGATAGGTAAGGAAGGTCCTTACATCATTCCCAGGGCTCCCCGGAGTTCCTGGCAACCCAGGGAGACCTCGAGGACCCTGGAAAAGGAGGGACATAAACACAGTTACTTATGATGACAGCAAGCTGGCTTTGCTGTGCTGAGAAATCAGTACAGTCACTTACCTGAATACCTGGCTCTCCAGCTGGCCCTTGGGAGCCCTGAGTAAAATGAGAGTCAGGGATCAGCATTCCACAAATCATCCAGGTAGACAGAGGACTAAGTATTTTAATTTGCTTGGGGGGACAACAAGGTTAGCCACTATGCACACTCTGAAAACTGCAAGTCGGCCAAGATTTTGGGGGTGGTAGGTAGACCCTAGCCAGACACCTGCTGCTGGGAACATCAATATGGTTTTTGCTCAGAGACCTGTGACATCTGTCCTCACATGTTCACAAGGTCACAGACAACGCATCTGAATGCTCTCTGTCCAGAAACTGTCCATCGGGGTAAGCAGCGTGGGGCTTCCTCTGCTCTCTGCTTTCTACTTTGGATCATTTCTTTTTTTGAAGAACCCTCCAGAACCGGTGTTCCGTGCAGGAGTAGGAAGTAAAACATCAGTCCGTGACTCTTTTTTTTCCTTTCAGAAAACTGGAATTGAGGTGACTAAAGTGAGGCTTGGAGATGATCGGGAAACTTAGTGAGAGAGCTGTGTCCCCACCCATGACGGCTGACCACCGATTTACAACCTGTGTGAGGGAAGAGTTGGCTTCTCAGTACCTGTGCACTGATTTTTCCTTTCTGACTTTTAAAGCATATCCATATTGCCGCTACCATTAAACCTGCTTCTTTTCCTCTCTTTCTATTTAGGCTGTGTCCCTAAGTCATTTCTTTTCTTCCACCTCCATCACTTCCCTAATGACTTTCTGCTACAGTTTTTTACTTTGATTTCCATCCCAATCCTCTTTTAGATTTTTGCCCTGGAGAATCAAACTGCAGTTATGTGCCACATAGCCATTCGGTATTTACACTTTCTCTTAATGTTCATGATAATGCCAACACAAAGCTGGGATATTGTGATATAATAAGAAATAGGTACCTGACTGCTTCCCCAAGTCACTGGCACAGATCTCCTAATACTCTTGGAATTTCTTACCATAGGCCTCTAGGAGATACTTTTGTTTATTTATTTATTTTTATTTTTAAATTTTGAGTTGGAGTCTCACTTTGTCGCCCAGACTGGAGTGCAGTGGCCGCTCCCGTCCACCGCAGCCTCGACCTGCTGGGCTCCAGCGATCCTTCCGCCTCAGCTTTCCAAGTAGCTGGAATTACATGCATATGCTACCATGCCCGGTTAATTTTTTGATTTATTGTAGAGATGAGGTCTCGCCAAGTTGCCCAGGCAGGTCTCGAACCCGCGGGCTCAAGCTATCCACTCAC